CTAATTTAATTTTTTATTTATTAGTATGTCATTAATTACTACTAGTATTATAGTTACTATTTTTTTTTATTGCATAGGCAGTAATGCAAATTCTGACGAAAGCTCAAAACTTCATTGATAAATCAAATTTACAATCACATGAGAATTTTTATAGTTGAATCAACTTGAATTTTATTCGTTAATGATTAATAAGTTCTTTCCGAAATCAAAGAATTTTTGACGAGCGCAAATTACAGTCGAATCTTGCTTTTACTATTACATAATTCTCAATGTTTCCCTTCGATTTACATTTTATCCACTTATAAGCATAACATAAATAGCTCAGCATGAAGTACAAAATCTGAATAATACATAGAAAGGAAAGTATAACAAAGGTATAAAAGAATAACGAATATTCACGTATCTGTCTCTAACAAAAAAATGAAAAAAAAAAAAGATAGAAAGATTTTTCAAGATTCTCTTTCTTCACTAAAGCATTGTTAACATGTTCACACACAAACTATTTAAAATATGCTCGCGCATAAATAAAAATTTCGTTCCGTTCATGCACAGAATGATATATTTCCATTTTACGTGCGTAACTAAATGAAAACTGTGAAATAGTGATAAATAGTGATAAATGATGATACCGCAGGAGGATAAAAATGTATAGATTCTTAAATATACAGATGCTGGCAGGGGTTTTAAGAATAGGGAAATTTATCTCAGCACTGATTCTTTCTGACTAACAATAAGACCAGAATAACTTAGTCTTAATTTACTCGTCGATTCGATGCGCTTTAGCGGTCTACTCTTTTTCCAATAGCATGTAACCGGAAGATGAAACGAGGTTAAAGAAAAAGAAATCACGCGTGGCGATTCAGTAAAACGATAACATTCTGTTCGGAAAAAATATAACTGTATATATAGAGGAAATAATTAATAAATAATAAATAAAAAAAAAATAATTAAGTAATACATAATAATAAAAAATAATTTTCGAAAAGAGAACGTGTATCTGTAAACTTCTTTTCGCTAATTCACATCCGAGATGTTATTGCGAAAATCTTGATTAATGTGTACCTTAACAGAATACGATATCTAAAAGCAATGACAATCGCGAGCAATTTTTATGAAGTCACTTTTAAAAAAACATCTTATATAATCAAATAACATATCTTTCGACTGAATAACGCACGTAATGTAACTCTCATAGATTAATAAAAAAAAAAAAACAACGTTTTATTCAGTTTGAATACTGTTCAGTGATGCTCACCATCGATATAGGTCGCGTGGGCGAGTCCAGCGAATGATCTGTCCTCCTGTGACAAACGCCGCAGGCGAATAAGGATTCCCTGTACACACAATGTCCACGACGAGGGAGACAGGGACACGCGAACTTTTAACCTCGGCACGACGAGTGAGAGAAAAGGGAGATAAAACGTGAGAGAAAGCACGATCCACATGCATACACACGCGTGCGTACAAGCTGGCGGACAAATGTTTTTTTTTTTTTTTTTTTTTTTTCACGACAAAATAAAGATCTCGTCCAACATAAGAAGGGTACAAGGAGAGAACACCGCTGGTGGTGGCCGGTGCACGTTCACCAAGGTGGTAACTCTCTTATCGTCCACCCACCGAGAGTTAGTTTATGGTATACATCTTGTATACATCTCACACGCGTAGAAAGAGTTAAAATCAAAAATCCTAACCGGAATATTATTTCAATCTGATTACAATCTAATATAAAATTTAACAATTTACTTGTTTTATTTCGACCGATGTGTTTAGCCGATGGAAAAAAAATGAAAATCATTGATCTACAGTCTCTTTGGTTATACGGTATATCATTTTTTAATAGTTATTTTTTTCATAATTACCCTTTCCCAACGAGAAATATGCATAGTTAAAGAAATCTCATTCCGTAACGTTCTTCAAAATAACGAGATATATATTTCTAGTTGAGAATCAAATCATTTCTCGTTCCTCTTTCATCGCGAGACAAGTAACGAGTCAGGATATCACCTCGATGGCGTGGTAATATCGCATGGATATACGCGAAATACTTTATTGCCTGACACGATAGGATCGGGCTCGTTATCTTTAATAAGATCGACTCACATAAAATCGCGGAGAATATAATAATGGAGCATCGGGCAAAAAACGTCTTACTGCCATTGGACAATGTAAGCCTTGTGGGTGGATGCGTGACGCATCGCCATTTGAGATCCACTGCCCCATCAATGTATTCCTTCGTCGTAACAAGAACTAAGAAGGAGTAAGATGTGAAATTTAACCCTACCGAGGATCATTTCGTGCAAGCTTTAATACCGGCTGCATATTAACTCGAGATTCTCGCCTTAATTAAGGTTCCGCGTTTAAATAGTCTGATTCCTTAAGGACTGATTGAGTCTGATTACGTCTCACGTAAGATGCATCAGCCTGCCTGTTTCACTATCGGTAAGACTTAAAAATTGTTTAATTATTTGACAAATGATGTCCATCTCTTATCAGATGAGTGACTATTTTTTTTCTCAGATGGATATGTAAAATTAAATAGTAAAATTAAAAAAATATATCTTACGTTAATAAAGCTTCGATAGGATATTCTATATATATTCTAAATGAATGTACCAATTAAAGTAAAACACAAATCATAATTTTTTCTCAATTATAAATTTATAACAGGATATAAAATGAGTGCACCGTTGACTAAAAGCGATATATATGCAAGCTGATTTAGCCGATACGTGTAACGTTTATACCCTTACATTAATAATATCTTTAATCAATAAATGATTATCGCTAAGAAATGAATGATACGATAAAACGAAGGGTTGCGATGAGTACGTACTCATTATTAAATTTGAGTACGCATCACACGATCACCGTAAATAATCGCCCACGTTCGGTGACGCGGTGGTTTATAAATTTCGTATGGCTATTACGCGAGTCGCTTAAAATGCAATGATATAAATTAAAAGATCGCCAATATAACGATCAATCACGGACCATTCCACTTTCGCGACTTTGCGATGTTCTCCTCTTTTTTTTTTTACTTCTTGTCATTTAAACGACCACCGCCCTTTACTTTCACTTTAATTTACGAAATATGTATTACGAAACAATCAAATCCAATCGAAAATTTGGAATGTAAATATCGGGGAATGTGTAAATAACGTATTCTTCAGTTTTTTTTTTTTTTTATACGCGAATCAATACGATCGTTTGAACGAGGAGTGATTTTAACAAGAACATTATTTTACGTTGCAAGAAGATAATCCATTCTCGTTTTATTTGCTGCCCCGCAATATTTTCAGACGTTAATAAGTGCACAGGTAATGTGACGCACGAATACACCGGTATAGAGAGGACTATGTACATTGCACGTATACATCGCAAATAGATTGAGGCCTACTCTCATCTTTCGCATTGCCCGTTCGGCACGAACAACGACTCTTCGGTATCACCATGAGCCGGACCCTAATATGGAAGCCGTGCTCATTTGGCCGCGTTCACGTTTTACAGCTGAAATGAATTTATGGAAAGGACACCTCTCTTCGTCCGTCGGAGCGGTAGAGAAAGAGGGAGAGAAGAGTCGCAGCGACAACGCGGCAACGCCAACGAAACGATAAATTTACCCCTTACCGGCTTCTCTGACGCTAAATAGATGCCCGCGCTGCCGTCCTTTTGACATAAACGCTCAGCATAAATTCATCAACCTTTTGACCGATGGTGTCCGTTGGTGTCTCCGCGCACAATCAGCTTCCTTCACGACGCTCTCCTAGAGCGCCGGCTCGGAAAGAATACAATGCTCGGATAACGCTTTTGCAAACGGGTATACGACAATCTCTCGCAAATTGCTCGAATGTCTATTTACTCTCTCGATGTTTTTGTTATAGAAAATTTTATTATATTTTATTATAATAAAATATTTTACAATATTTTTTATAACGAAGAGACCAAACTTTCGAAGTAAAATATCAAATATTTAAAAGGAATCAGCTAAGTGAAAAATTCACCTCAGTGGAGACTCTATTATATTATCGGAAATAATAGAGTGTCTAGAAATAGTAGAAACTGAATGGCATAAAAAGCAGAACATGGTATTGTAACCACAGTTTTACAATTTTAGAGAGACATAAACGCGCCTGTTGTTTCACCGTATTTATTGCATATTGTAACGCAATAATTTATTCCTAATAGCATAAATCAGTGGAAGCAATAATGGTTGTAAATTGGTGACCTAAAGGTTCACGGAGTAAACATCTTCATAGCCAACATTGAAATTCAACATTTATTAGCTAATGCATAATACCTCTTCTTTAACCGAATTTACATGATTATTGCACACGCCCTGGCAAACACTGACAAGCAAATTACAGCTGGACGAATTTGACGACGATAGAGTGAAACGCCAACCGGCTCCGACAGATTCGAGACAGAGCGGCGCGTAGGTGTCGACTGTGATAATGGAATGAAAAATGAACGATCGTGAAGAAACGGACGTACGATAATTCATTCGACACGGTAAACGAGCTGAGAGCATGGCGTAATTAATTGCGTTCGCGCTTTACGCGCATAGTGCGATGGCGAGCGTCTAGTTGTAGTAAGTTCGCGTGATGGAAATACTTGACAAGGCAACGTCCATTTGAATATGCCTGATATCGTGAGTCTCGAGTTTCGGAACACAGTCGACGTGCAAATTTGAAATGAGCCACGGTTCGTGTAGATATAAGATATGTCAAATTATTTATACCATATAGATTATGTAATAAGTATATGTATAAAATTTTAACGAAAGAAATACTATAGCATTAATAATTATTATATAAGTTTTAATATTATTACATTTCGAAACTGTGTATGTATTAAAAATCAATTAGAAATATACAATCGATTTGAATGTTTAAGATTTTTCAAATTTGCTTCGTCGACTTCCCTTGTACGAAAATCAAACCGACCCTCTAATCCGTACGAGATAAGAACTGAAGAAAATTTGGCATTTCTTATTTGTGCAGGTAGCAAAGAGGCGGCTTTTACGTACGCGATAAGCTCGGCCGGCGTTACATATGCAGTGACAGCAGCTTGCAGCCGTGGCAACATCACAGCTTGCGGTTGTGAACCGGCTGTAAGGTAGGCTATAAATCCCGTGATGTTTTGCGCACAGCACGCAACGTGTTAATTATTACCGATTAATATCGCATTTTTGTAGGACGAGGAAGGAATTACCGCCGAACGGTTGGGAGTGGGGCGGTTGCAGCGCCGACGTCACGTACGGGATGAGGTAATTAAACTGATAGTTAATTAATTTGCACTATCAGTTCTCGTCGCTTCTTACGCCAGCTCGCCCGTGAACGGCGCGAATACGGCGAACGCTAAAACACGCATAAATTTTAATATTATAATTTAATGTTAGGTTCGCGCGTAGGTTTCTGGATGCGAGAGAGATCGAAGGCGATGCTCGGAGCCTGATGAACCTTCACAATAATAAAGCCGGAAGAAAGGTAAGCGTAGTAATTAATGATAGCGTTCTTTTTCGTATTTTTATCTTTATAATATTATTAAAAAAAAAAAAAAAAAAGAAGCTGATAGGTTTCTCATGAGAGGAGACCAGACACGGGCGTCACAAGTTATAAAATATGCGTCAGCAGAAAGTAATACTATGTAATGAGCACCATAATTGCCGTGAAGCAATATTAATTACCGTAACTCACAAGAGAAATCGTTTAATGCGAAGATTAAGCTCGCTGGTATTTGACGACAGCACAGCTCTTCGCCATTTCTCAATCATCCTGTCGCGTAATTATATATTCTAAGATTATATAACGCCATATTATACAAATGATATACAATGTAATTGAAGTAGACAGATATACTTCCCATGAAACTTAATTTGCTTCTACGCCTAAATGTTTACGCTTGCAAACTGATTACCCGCTATTTGAAGCCCACGATTTCCTTATAAAGAATACAATCAAAGTCTTGCCACAGAATACAAATTATCAATAACATCAATATTATAATTTCCCACTTAATAATATAAATGTAATATATTTAATATATATTCTACATATAAGATTCATTGAATTTCGCGCATTGATTTCTGCGCGGATTCCCATTGGATCCATCATTGCTTATTATTTTTGTTATTAAATTAACAGTTTGAATCCGTTTATTAATTTGTACATTATAAAATTGATATAACGTTATCAGTTTGTATTCTGTGAATTCTGTATTTTTAACTGTATTTTAACGTAATTAAACAAATTGCCTATTCTTAACATTTCCTTTCACAATATTCTAATCTACCAATTCTATTGTAACGCGATGTGTACGCAGAATATTTTATCTCACTCATATTCTACGTACGTGACTATGCTGTTATGTAGAAAATTAGTGAAGAAACAATAATTCAAGAATAATTAATATTATAGGAAATTAAGTAATCAATCAATTTGTCAAGAAGAGAAATGTTCGATTATATATGTAGGAATGGGTTTTAGCATGTTAATATTTTATGAAAAATCATTATAGAAATTCAGCCTCACATGTTAACTTGTAGCTATGGGCAACGGATTAGATCGGATAACAGAGTGATAATATCCATAATGAGGCGCGTTCATCATGCACCAAGTGTATGCAAATCAGACATTACCAATTTTGATTTATCGCCCAATAACCTACGCGGGAAGCCAATTATACCGAGGAAGACAATGTCGTTGATCTGCGATTCGCGTACACATAACTGTTAGCTTAGCTAGATATCTAGATATCTTAATGTTCCGTCTATGGCAATGTCCAATTTTTATTTTGAGAGAGAAATGGGAGCTGGATTAAAGGGGAGAAAGAGAGAGAGAGGGAGAGAGAGAGAGAGAGAGAGAGAGAGAAAAAGGGAATGCAAGAAATTACTAATGCATATATACAGGATTAAAATCATTTGTCCGATCTAATAATCTACAGCTCTTTTTTTATCGTCATCATTCTTACGCGGCAAGGTTGATGATCGAAAACGAGCGTTTGTAAGAAACAATTGCATTGTGCCCGAAGGTGAAGCGATGAGGGCGGCGCGCCTTAATTGGGGAAAGTTCGTCTCGAGCTTTCGTCTACCTCGATTGGCCCTTATTACAAGCGGGCAATAAAACCTTGCTGTTGGTCCGCGTACGTGCACGTATACGCACGTACGTATATTCCCAGAGGTAATGATTTATTCTTAATGTTGATCGCCCCGGCGCGCCACATATTTTATGCCTTGAAGATTTTTTTAAACCTTCCTCCGTATGTAGCACCGACGCGGTGCGCCGGAATAATTCGAAATGTTAAACCAGTTTCATACGCGTACGCGTCGTGTCCGCGATCGGCGCACAATGAAGGGTCCCCATTGGGAATCGAGCGTGCGTAGGATTTTGCAGATGAACATTCGATACGATTACAACCGTTTAAGATCACCCTCGAGTTAATCGAAATGCATCTCCCGCGCCAGTGGCGTGGCGATGCGAAATCCGCGTGTATGTAATTGTTTCGAAGAATTGTTTGTAATCATAAACGCGAGAATGAGTGAAAATTCGAACGGTCGCGTATTATACCTGGAGGTCGACTGTGTATCAGTGAAACGAGATGAAAATTATAAAAGTGAGCAAAATTCACTGCAAATCCATGTATGTAAAAAGTGACTACATTATATGTGTGCGTAAATGATTTTCCGTTTCAAAGTAATATACTACTGTGTAAAAAAAGAATTCATACATTTAAATGTGTCATTTTTACACGGAAAATTAATCATGCACATATTTTGTAGCCATTTTTTACACACTTGGAGATTTGCAGTGATAAAATTATAAATATTTTACTGAATTGGCTCACTTTTGTCATTTTCATTCTCGTTACAAAATATATAATCAATTCTCAGCTCTATGAAGAATACAATCAAATTCTCTTATTCTTTACGTATTAAAATTAAAGACTTAGGACAATTCCCAATACTTGTCTACTAACTTTACCTCAAGTAAAATATTTAAATTGTACGCAAAATAATTGTATAATAACATTTCTATTTTACATAAGCACGGCCAAATGAAAAATATATAAATCAGTGAAACAATGAGTAGAATAGTCACAGATTTTTTTGAACGTGATGAAAAATATTTTAAAAAATTGCACGCAAGGTAATTAAAACAATCGAATTACGTATAATATTATGACAGTTCGAAGCTCTACGCCATTGATTTCTTCGTAATGGACCCGTGTATATCGTTTGAAAATGATTCAAGCATCAGGCGACGCATTCATTCTCATCGGACGCATTGTAAGTTTTTGTTTTCATTCTCGTTCCCGCTCTCCGACCAAAAAGGCTCCGATCGCATGTGTAGATTTGAAATTTGCATAGGATACGCGTGTATAATGTAAGGAACAAATCGATGTACACTTTATTAACCGCACGATAGAAGTGGTAATCTGTTTCGATGCGATATATAAATGCGTTTCGAGACTCTACACAAAGTCTCTGTGATATATTTGGACTTGTAAAATCAATTCAAAGAGTAGCAAAAATGTTTTATTGCTGAATAAAATAAATCAATATTGTATATGTAGGTGATTTCAATAAGATCTAATCTTCAAATATTATATTGTATTTCACTTAA